ATTTCCCGCTCGCGCGCGCGCGAGCGGGCGGATGTAACAGGACGTGTATAGCTCACTTTTTCCTCTCTATAGATAGATCCTCTCCTTCCTCATTCTGTTCCAGTCTGCATCTCAGCCACATGATCTTTTGCTGATTGGTTTACATTATGATCTTTTGACCTATCCGATGTTCACTGTTGTAAGATCCTCACAGTGTTGGATTAAACTTCTCAATGATCTTCAAGGTGTCTTCTGGATTTAGTCACTATCTACCAATGCAGCTAAGATTGGTGGTTGTCGCTATCTCGCCACAACTGTAAGTTATAGAGATCACACTTTCAGTGCTTAGACTGGAGAGGCAGAACAGTGAAAAGATCGTTAGAAAGATCAGTCAAGCATCTTTCAAAGTAACCTTGCTAGCTCTGGATACATAGTGAGATGTTATATGGACACTAGAAAATGGCAGCTTGCAGATGGTGCAGCCATTACTACACAAGCCTGTATATGCCAGCAAGCAAATCTCAACATAGCACTTGTCAGTTTCAGGACAGCATTACTGCAGCGGCTGTTCATACAACTGTGCCATACAGACAGTTTATACAGTTCCTCTGTATGCATTACCACATTGCTTCCTCACTGTAAAATCTTGTAAGAAAGTGAAACTAAACTTGTCTCCAACTGGTTGCCTGGAATGCCCTTGTACCTTTTTTCTGCGATACACGACGCGCGGCTGTTTTAGCCGTGATTGTGTTCAGAAGCACGGGCGGAATCGCGACTGGGTTGCCATTGGAAAATATTGGCACCCACCGCGCGATCGGTGCACACCTGGGAAACTCCTGGCTGCGCGGCAATCTGGTGGGGTGTCGCCTAGGTGTGCACCGGCCCTGACTCTCTCCTTGTCCGCACATTGTTTCAGCAATGCACTATACAATCTGAGGAAACTAATGCACAGCAAGAATCAGAACTCCTTCCAGATCAGGAATTCAATCCTGAACCAAACAAAAGGGAAAAACGCTTACAGGGTTATTCACTAAAAGGTGAAGAGTTTGGAGAAGTGAACAATCTAGGACAACATAGCTGATTTGGAAAAATTCTCCAATTCAGCTCACTTTCCAGTTCAGCTATGTGTTCACTTCTACCGCCTTCTCCAAACTCTTCACCTTTTCGTGAATAACCCTGTTAATAAAACCAACTTGGAAGGTAAGGTTCAAAAGAACCATGAGGCTGACCAGGAAGAACTGCTGTCTAATTCAATGGTCTAATGCTGTTAAATGCATGTCTGCTCTCTCTCAACCAGCTCATGAGCCATTGCAACTAGAGGGTGCTTTTAAGCAATTGAATGTTGCTTATGAGAGTTATCAAAGACTGTCAAGGTTTTTCACTTAGCTGCCGAAGGCCACCCAGTGAGTAACCGAGCCGAAGTGAAGTGAGCCGAATGACGTTCGGTTATTCACTCCGGCTCAGTATGGCTGATGTTCGGCTTAGTCGAAGTGCAGAGGGACTTCGACTTGGCTGATCCAACATCTGGATCGGCTGAGCCAAAGCCCCGGCAGCTCACTCGCTGCCGGTCGCCCCTATTTTCATAGGGGCCGAACAGCAGTTAGTGAATAGCCGAATGCTGCTCGGTACCTCCTGAGGTACCGAGCAAAATAGAAAAGAATGGAAAAAAAAACAGTTGAAAAATTATTTTAAGAATGATAAAAAAAAATAGGAAAATTAAAAAGAAAAACAATTGGCGGTGACAACTAGCTCTCCGCCCGGTTGTTGTTTAATGACAGATCAGTGTCCCCAGGTCATTTAGGGACGCTGATCTGTCATTACAAATGGGCGGAGCGAGCCATGAGATCACGACTGGCTCAGCCCAGCTGTCATTTGCGTGTAGATCAGTCAGCTTCGGCCGACCGTTCTCCACGCTTCGGGTGTCATTTGGGCTCAGTCGAGCCGAAGCATATGCCTTCGGCTCGACTGAGCCGCTCGGCTGCCTTCAGATGCTGTACGGGCTGGATCCTTCGGCTCTTTAGTGAATAATGCCCTGTGTGTTAAACATACTGATCTCTTAAAGCGGAACAATACTGAAGGATCATTAGAAAAATTAAAGAGATTTGACGAGCTCAATCTTGAAAAAAACTACTTAGAAGCACAAACAATGACAAGGGCAGAAGTGAGAATCACACAGCTCCATAAATCCAGATCTCATCGCTCTGCATCCACTAGACACTCCACAAGATCCTCCAAATCCCTACAATCAAGATCTGCTACACTAAGCCAACAACTCATTAAAGCTCATGCGGATGTAGAAGCTTTACAATTCAGGCAACATTTGCCCAAAAGAAAGCAGAGATTGAAGCTGCCCACCAGAAAGCAGAGAAGGAAGCTGAAACTGCATGCTAGAAAGCAGAGAAGGAAGCTGAAGCTGTATGCCAGAAAGCAGAGAAGGAAGCTGCACATCAGAAAGCAGAGAAGGAAGCTGAAGCTGCATGCCAGAAAGCAGAGATGGAAGCTGAAGCAGCATGCCGGAAAGCAGAAATGGAAGTTTTGGAAAAACAATTTTTTTTAGCAAGCCATGTCAAGGTTAAGAGCTTTAGAACAAGGCGCTAGTGAAAGCAAAAGAGACAACAGTGGCAGACTCTCAGTTACATCATGCGCATCAGATTCATCACATACCTCTCCAGAACATCAACTACCTGTCATGGCAGCCAAAGCACTCAAAAGTCTCTTCTATGCACCTACTGTACCTCAAGACATATCTTCCAGTATATTAGACCACACCATCTCCGCAAGCAGTGGACACTGGTATGCATATAATAGACTATCCACCTTAGTATAGCACTAGCCAGGTGCCTCATAGCAAGCACACCGCTCCACAGCTACAAACCAACTTGCCAATGAACTTTAAGCCAGTTCCAGTGTTGAACATCTTAGCGCCATCATATGTTCCCAAGTCACTCAACGTCAGTGCACCAGCCATCACAATTAATTCTGTTCCACCTGCAGTCGTACACGCAAAGTCTGAAAACACAGACATGTCACCGTTTGCGAAATACATGCTCTGCAGAGAGTTTACTAAGACAGGCCTCACCAAGTTTCATGACAAGCCTGAAAATTACAGAGGCTGGAAATCCACCTTTAGGCCACAATAAGTGAGCTAGACATCACCGCTACAGAAGAACTAGATCTGCTCATCAGGTGGCTAGGTCCCCAGTCTACTGAACGCATCGAGAGGCTCAAAGCAGCTGATATTGACAACTCTGCTGCAGGTCATAATGCTGCTTGGGACAGACATAGGGGACATTGTTTGTTGAAAGGGATTTCTCTATAGACGATGGACTGAAATCTCTGCCTACGGAAGAAGTTATTGACCTTCTCACTAGAACTCAGAACATGCTTGCTACTGCCAAACTCAGGCTTCACAAAATCATCTCCAACAGCAACAAGGTAATAAGAGACTTTACCTATGAGGACAATGCGCTATCAGTGTGATGAGATTCCAGCTAGGATCTGACCTTTCCCTTAATCAAAAGGTTTCTGCTAGAGACAATCTAAAGTTTCAAGAACTCAGCGATGTTCTATTTGAGCTTCAACTTGCTAAAGCTGACACCCTTTTACCTGGTCTCAGTTACCTTGACACCCCTCATGGCATCAAGCCTATTGTGCTTAAGCTACCGTATAGCATTCAAGAAAAATGGGCAGTGCTTGGATTAAAGTAGAAGTAAAAATATCAAGTTGCCTTTCCTGCTTTTTCCTACTTCTGCAAGTTTATTAGAAGAATTGCAGACACTAAGAATGACCCAAGTTTCTCCTATGGTGACTGTAACTCTCTCAGTTCATCTTCTCCAAGACCTATAAACACACGTATGACACACAGAGACCATAGAGGTCCATTGTCAGTGAAAAGGACATGTTTTACCTGCATCTGCTACAGTTCTTGAAAAGATTGATCAAAACAAGAAAATTAAGAACCCAAATCGCCAATGTCTCATACATAACAAACCACAACCGCTTAAGACATTTATCAGCTTCAGAATGAAACCCCTACAAGAACGTAGGGAACTTTTAAGAAATTTGGGGTTTGCTACAAATGCTGTGCTTCCACAGAACACCTTGCAAACGACAGTAAGGCTATCATTAACCCTTTCGCTGCTAAGCCCTCCGGAACATTTTTCAAATCAGCTGGCCAAGCCATTTTTGAATTTTCTGCAATTTTTTCCTATTGATTTGATTTTCAACTGCTGCGTTACTAGCGTTTGTAAAAGACCCCCCAAACCATATATTTTCTGAAAGCGCAGGCCCGGTAGAATAAAAAGATGGTGATACTAAATTTGTAGGCTGTGCGATAATTGTGCAAATGTTTCTCAAATTAATATTAAACCGATAAAAATACACAATTCAATTGATCAAGCACACTAAAATCAGTATCAGCGCACAAAAAAAAACATTCGCTAAAGCGACCATCAGCTTATAGTAGAACTGTAAATGCCAGGTCCGTACGGCGTACTGAGCTGGCCAGCTGGAAGCACTTTTGTAGCTCCGTACGACGTACGTCCTTGGCAGCGAAAGGGTTAAATGCATTGAATGTGACAGTGATGACCACGTGCAAGCCCTTCATTCATATCTGCACAACTCTACTATGCCCACAGAGAATCCTCCTAGGACAAAGCAAGGCTGGGAGTGCACAGATCAAACAGCACCTTCTACCCCAGTGTTCTCTACATGTACAGAAATCTGTGGCCTGGACTCTGTGATAAATTCTGTGCAAAGATATGCTTGGTTCGTGTATACCCCAAAGGTCAACCTGAAAAAGGCCATAAGACTATATTAATCTTGATGATCAGAGTAACCAATCTCTTGCAAGAACAAAGTTTTTTAAACTGTTAAACATAACAGGAGATGCCTTACCTTATACCCTAGGCACTTGTGCCGGCAGTACAGAAGTCTTAGGTAGGAGAGCCAGTGGTCTTGTAGTTGCTCCTCTGAATGACAATGTGGAAGTACCCTTGCCCACTATCGTCGAGTGCAACATTATGGCTAACATTCAGCAAATGTTCCACTGTTTCATCGTCGGTGAAGACAACAGAAACTTCCTAGGTTCTGATGGTACCGCAATAATGATATCAATGACGAAGTTATAGAGTACTGGATGAAGGTACACGTTTTTGGTAACAGTCCTCCCGCAGTAGCAATTTATGGATTGAGAAGAATAGCTCAAGAGGGTGAAAAGGAATTTGGATCTGATGCACACCTGTTTGTTGAAAGAAATGTCTCTATAGATGACGGACTCAAATCTCTGCCTACGGAAGAAGTTATTGACCTTCTCACTAGAACTCAGAACATGCTTGCTACTGCCAAACTCAGGCTTCACAAAATCATCTCCAACAGCAACAAGCTAATGAGAGCCTTTACCTATGATGACTATGCGCTATCAGTTTGAAGAGAGTCCAGCTAGGATCTGACCTTTGCCTTATGCAACGGCAGCCTTGGATTGCTTTGGAATGTTAAGTAAGACACATTCACATTTCAAGCATCAGCCTGTGACAAGCCCTTCACAAAGCGAGGCGTTTTGTCTGCAGTGAACAGCATTTATGATCCATTGGGTTTCATAGGCACCTTTTACCATTCAGAGTAAGTTACTGCTGAGACAACTTACTTCTGAAAACACAGACTGTTGTTTCTCCTTGGGTAAGGGGGTATCCCAAAGGTGGGAATCCTGGAAACAGCCCCTGAAAGCATTAGAACAGCTTGAGATACCACGCTCTTGCTGACAGTCGGCTCTACAAGTTTAAACAGAGTCCCGGCGGCAAAAGTCGCCGGGAGTCTGTTTAAACAGCCCCGATGCTGGCGACGTACACTGTACGTCGTCAGTCACGAAGGGGTTAAAATGCCAACAAGTGTAAATGGGAATTCAATCCACCTCATTCCTCTCACAAAGACCAGGAAACCTTCCCAGCTCACCCATGCAATCTTAGTCACTCTTCTTGCAGGGGTGTCCGCCATAATCAATGCAAGGCCACTGGTCCCTGTGTTCTTAGATCCAGAGTCTCCAGTATTTCTCACTCGAGCCACTCTTCGTACCCAAAAAATTGGGACAGCCACTACACCTCCTGGGGATTTCGATTGTCCCAATGTTTACAAACGTCAGCAGAAACAGGTTAATCATCATGCTAATGTGTTTTGGAGCTGTTGGAAGATGTTGTACCTTTGCAACCTTCAAAGTTGCAGCAAATGCAAACCTAATCTACAAGTGGGGGGACACAGTTCTCTTGAAAGAGACAGGTGCCCATCGCAACCATTGGCCTATAGGTCTTATTACAAAGACTATACCAAGTAATGATAGAAAGGTATGGAAAGTAGAAGTTAAGGTAATGAAAGAAAGTTCTGCATGGTTTTACTTCAGGCCTATAAATGAACTGGTACTTCTTCTGCCCAAAGAGGTAAACGTTGACCGGTCCGCGGCGATAAAAAGGTTGGGGAGCACTGTTCTAAATCACCAACTTGATTCAAACGGAGGTAAGAAGGATTGGTGCATGTTGCTGCCTTCCCCTCTGAAGATGGACTCACGGACATTTTTCTGTTCTTGTCACAGCCTAGACCAGTGATGGTTAACGTTTTTGAACCCGCGTGCCCAAACTGCAACACAAAATCAATTTATTTATCTCAAAGTGCCAACACTGAAAATAAGTTTGGTTTTGCACTGCAGTTTGGGCACTGAGGTTTGAAAAACGTTCAGCATCACTGCCTTACACAAAATAGGGAAACACACATATTAAAACATTTATACACCCAATAAAACACACACATCACACACACATTAAAACACACACATGACACACATATCACACACTCATTAAAAAAACCACACATTTAACACATGTAATGAAACGCACACATCACACACTCATTAAAAAACACACACACATCACACATGTAACGAAACACACACACATTAAAAACACACATCACACATGCATTAAAAAAACACAAACTTAATAAAACACACACATATCTTCATTAAAAAAACACACGCCACCCACCAACACACACACTCATACAACACACACGACTATTAACTATCAAAATGAATAATCATTTTTTAAAAATGTCCCCCTCTCCTGCGCACCTGTTTTGCATGGAAAGGGCTGCATCCCTAGGGTCCAGTGGGGCACTTGGGGATTTTCCTGGTGGTCCAGTGGAGGATCAGTATGATCTGAATCTCTGGCTGATGCAGACCATACTAATCACTCCTGCCTGTGAACAGCGGCAACAAGGGGGTAAAATGGCCTGGCCAGGAAGGGGGTCTAAACACCTGGTCTTGAAGTGGTTAATATATTGACGGTTCTGCAATATATTAAATAGGATCTGGGCACTTGCCAGGTTTAAAGATGGCTGCCGCAATTCGCGCCGGCCATCTTTAAAAGCTTAATGTCACTGAGACCCGTGGGACACTGGAGGCCAGCGCAAGGCACCCCAGGAGAGAACCTGGAGTGTGCAGGCAACCGGCACCTATGCTTGCGTGCCACTGGAGGGGCCTCTGAGTGCCCTCTGTGGCACACGTGCCATAGGTTCGCCATCACTGGCCATTGTTTTCCCTTGTTTTGTTTTGCAGATGTTCTTGGAGCAGAATCTTATTTTACTTATATTTGGACTTAGACTAAAGTTTAATATTAGAAATCATAGATTTTGACGGGGAGTGTCATGTTTCATGCATTGTGATATGCCTTTTAAATATTGTATGTGTTTAATCTGTCCCTGGTGTTTCTCTCATCCACTCAGCGAATGAACATGTCCCTGGTATTTCTCTCATCCACTCAGCGAAAGAACATGTGACTGAGACACAGACTGGAACAGAATGAGGAAGGGTGTAGCACCCTTCCTCATTCTGTTCCAGTCTGCGTCTCAGCCACATGTTCTTTCGCTGAGTGGATCACATTATGATCTTTTGACCTATCCGATGTTCACTGTTGTAAGATCCTCACAGTTTTGGATTAAACTTCTCAACAAACTTCAAGGTGTCTTCTGGATCTAGTCACTGTCTGCCAATGCAGCTAAGATTGTCGGTTATCGATATCTCGTTATAGAGATCACACTTTCAATGCTTAGACTGGAGAGGCAGGACAACCACCTTTTGTCAACAATCACTTGAAGTAATTGTTTTGTGAATGACTTTATCAGTCTTTCACATAATTTTCTCTCACACAGACCTTCTCCATTTTGGCTTTATGTTTGTAAAATAAATAATGACACTGTGTAATATGTCACGTGTTGTTGCTCATCTGAGGTTGTATCTACGTCATTTTAAGACCTGCTAAGGATCCAATGATTTTTATAATGTCCTAATACTTAAAACCATAACATTCAAAGTAGGTTTTTGTTCTTTTTCACACAACTGTATGTGTACTTCACTTTGCTTCTGGGTGTTAAAAACAGCTTAAACTATGCAACTTTACTTGTTCAAGAAACATACATGTTACTAAAGTACCCCTTTAATGTAAAAATGATGTAGGCTAGCATTACCAAGCTCTCATTTTGAGACTACTAGCTCCCTGGCTGTCATACTGAGGCTTTGTCTTTAATGCTTTGAGTCACTGACCTGAACCACATATACTGTAAAGGTAAGAAATTCTGACACGTTTTGACTCTTATTTACATCTTTTTTTTAAATCTGTGACTCAAAGGTACTACAGCTAGGCACAGCCAGGCAGGTAGCATTTTCAGAAAAACACCAGCAATGGCAGTGCCATACTTTTATTACAAAATTTTATATGAAGGAAGTAACAGAGAAGGAAACAGATGCTTCTAGAGCCAAAACACACCATGTAAGAAAGTGTCTGAAAAATTGTGGCTGTAATTTGTATGATTGTCGTCCACATTAGAGAATATACCTGCAAAGTGTTGCTAATGCATACTAGACTGTTCAGCTTTCTAGTACTTCTGTATATAAGACAATGCATGCGTTTTTCTTTTTACACAGTTAACAATTCTATTTTATGCATTCTGTGAATGATTCATTACTCTCATAGTTACTGTTTTTCCTTCCATTCGATAGGTCGTGTATTCAGACTCTTATACTGGTGGATTGGTACGATGTGGTATCGTATTACAACCTCTGCTTCTCTCCTTGATGTATTTATTTTAACCCGGTCAGTAAAGTGAACAAAAATGCATACAAATAATATAAACAAATAAAATCATCTGGATCTGCATTTTCTCAGCCTAGCTTTGGAGACTGTACCCGTACCCCTCCGAACTGGACATGCGGGTCTAACCTGGAATGTGACATTTGGCAACTGGGCTCTGCATTGTGGCGCTTTCTAGACCAGAGTGTACTGGTTAGTTTAGCCATGGATCACTTTTTGGGTCTCGAGCCATGGTACAGCCCCAGACGTGGCCCTGCCTCTGAAGACTCAGTTAGTGAGTAAGGCCAGTAGGGCTGAAGCATCGGGAGCTACCTCACTGCCTGAATCAATTTCTAATTTTGGCACTGGACCCCTTATCTTCTCCAGTACATCTGGATTCTTCCCACTCAGGTACCCTCTGTTCTACTGCTCTTGCGGTCTTGGGCCCGGGAGCTGTGCTACTATTAGGTTTCCACTCCCTTCCTCACATGAACAGATCCTTGTGGTGCTGGGTACTCATCAAGGTCTCTCCTTGTCTAAATTCCTGGACTTCCTGATCCATGGGGTTGAAAGGGACTAGTATTTAGCTGCTTCATACTTGGACAAGGACATAAATCCCTATGGCCACTTAGACACACCCCCTGCTTCTCATCAGAGCTTTTGCATCCAGTCTAGTGACCTCTCCTGGCATCACTATTATATATTAGAGATGCACCGAAATTTCGGCCGAAAATGGCACTTTTGGCAAAATGTCAAAAGTGCCATCTTTCGCCCAAAATAGCTGTGCATCCCTGCTTTCTCTCCTCCCCGCTGGGCACTGCTCTGTGTCCCAGCAGGGAGGGGAGAGCGATGTGAGCGGCCGGCGTCCCTCCTTTCGCACCGCTCAGCCTCCTGTGACAGACTAGGAGAGCGTCGGTGTGGGGGCGGAGACAGCTGTCACAGGAGGCTGGGCCGGCGGTGCGGGGAGGAGTCAACTGTCACAGGTGAAGGTGCTCTCTTCCCTGCACTGCTCGCTCAGCCTCCTGTGACAGCGAGTCAGAATGGAGAGCGGGTAAAGATAGTCAGTGATTGCTGAGTATTTGTAAATAATTGAGGACATAGCATGTTTACTGTCTCCCCAATTATGAATGAATAGGAAGTGATATACATCTCCACAATGTATGAATGAACAGGAACACTCAGTGTAGAGGATTCCTGTTCATTTACTGTATATAACAGGGGCTGCAGAAAAAGAGATTGAGGACTCTGCGTCCTCAATCTCTTTTTCTATTTTAAAAGGGAAATATCAGGAATCTGTTTAGACCCCCCAACAGTAAAGTAAAAAGATAAAAATATTTAATATAAATAAATTCAAAATAAAATGTTTAAAATTTTTTGAAAAGGTTAGAAAAGTAAACATTTCCACTTTCCGCCTGACATTTTTTTGCATTTCGTTTTTTTCAGGTTTCTAAAAGAGTTTGGTCTTGCTCAAATAAATGACAGTGTTGACACAAAGGTAGTTTCTCACAACAGGATACAGGAGTGTAGTTTACCTTCCATTGTTTTAGCTAGCTATCTCACAATGAGATACTTGGGTGTAGTTTGTTTTTAGCTGCCCTCCCATTGTTTTGCATAAAGTTTGTGTAAGTATCACACTCAAAGCTGGTCAACAATAGCCTTACCTTTTAGCATAACTGACCATGGTTAGCATCCATGGTACTGCGCTGCCATCTAGAGTTGGAAAAAAATATACATCTGCCATAGAATCTGATGCAGTTATAAGGGTAACACCCACAGGTAGGCTACCAACTTTTCTAAATAATAAGCCACAGCCCATTTCAATAGGGAGGACTTCACTGGAAGGGGAACCTGAGGAACCTTCTCAGGAAGCCATTTTCCTGAGAATGCTCAATAGCCAAGAAGTCCTGTTCAGTAAGGAACTTATGAACGAGCAACAACTAAAGCTAACTTTAGTGCATCTTATTGCTTAAAAAACCCATTGCATGTGCTAGAAAGGATACAGATAGCATGTGTATGTATGCTAGGGATCCACCAATACTAGTATTGGTATCGGTGCCGATACCGAGTATTTGGGCGAGTACTCGTACTTGCCCAAATGTTCACGTTGCCTATCCCGATAATGAAACTTCCGGTATCATGAAGCCGGGCAGCAAGTCATTATCTGCCCCCGGCTTCCTAATTGACCAGAAAGCCAGCTCCATTCTTCCTCGTTACCTAGGGACAAGGGAGCATGGAGACGGCTTCACGGCTAATCGGAAAGCCAGGTGGCGAGTCATTCCACACTTTCCAGCTAATCAGGAAGCTGGGCGCCGAGTCATTACATGCCTACTGGCTTCCTTAATGGGACTTCCAGTATAGTTATTTGGTATCGGCAAGTATCGAAAAAAAAAAAATATTGGTACCTGATACCGAAAAACCGGTACCCAGTACATTAATACTACTGGGTCAGTTTTATTGGCTTACTGCAAGAACCAGACAAACAAATAGCTGTAAAGTTTCAAAGCAAAGCAGTAGTGAGTACCTTCCTGACAGCTTTAACTCCAAGGTGTCAGAAAGAGTGGGTTGGTTTCCAACTCAGCCTTCCTGGTGGTCCTCATCTCACTAGTCTGTACCTGAGACCTACTCTGGCTTTATTCTCTAGCGGTGCTTTGTGAGCACCATTAGTTTTTCTGTCTTTTTGACTTTGTGGGACCAAACCCTTGGTTTCTCTAGTGGGGATAGGAGTCTCCTCACACATTTTGGGGCTATTGGGTTGTACTATTAATGTACATTCTCTGGGTACCTCATTTAGGTCCTTACCTCCTTAGTCAGGGGGTTGTTGTTCCTTAACTTAAAATATAACTATGGGGTAAGTGTTTTTCCGCCATAGTTCTATTTAGGGTCACGGGAGGACATATACTAACCTCCTCCTGTGACCCAAAGCTCAGTATATCGCAGGCCATACTGAGAGCGCCACAGCCTGGATGGATCCAGACAGCGTGAGTGACAGCTGGCTCTGCCTATCTAGATCCAGAGCCAGCTGTGCCCGCCCCCTCCCCCATCCGTTCCCCCACTCAGAGGTGGAGGATCGGGGGGGGGGGAGGATTCCTGCAGGGAGCGGTGAGTGACAGTCACTGCTCTCTGCAGGGAGATGATCGGAAAGTGAGCGAGTGACGGTATGTGTTCGCTCACTTCCCGATCAATAGAGCCGCCCGTGACAGCTTCTTTGTCACAGGTTGGCTCTAACTATGAGGATGAGTGGAAATCACTCACCTCATAGTTCTCCTTTTAAAGGTAGGATGTTCACCCTTGGGCCTTCCCTTACACAGTAGACCAACTGTTCTTTCTCACATACAACCTGTGAGAAATTTAAGTTGTGGTTCTATCTTTCTTTCCTGTGTAGTGCTCACCCCTGAAAGAGCCGCTGGAACAGACTGGTTCCTCTGTTCCACACCAGGATAACTTGCACAGATAAGATCCACAGCACACCAACACACCTTGTGGGGTTTTATAAGAGCTTTACTAAACAAATAATGCCCTAATTTAATAGGTGTGTGAAGATGAGAACAATAGCAAACAAATGTGCATAAAGAGAAATCAATCCAGGAATTCAGGCACACCTCTAAATAATGAAATAAACAGTGCTGAGCTATCTGAACAGATTCCCACTGACTTTGGATGTGGGTTAACAATGACTCAGTCCCAAATGTCCCCAGCTCTCTATACTACTGGCCAGTAGTAGTATTCTAGGCTAGCCAAAGTTGGGGCCCATACTGTGTTACAGGTAGATTCCACTCCAATAATTGCAGGTGGCCAATGGCCTCTCAGTAATCATGTGGCTTGAATAGCAGCTCCCAAGTTGTTTAGTGAAAAGGGGGCCTCCCCGACCTCTACGGCCAACTTTCCTCGGTCCCAACAGCAGTGTGTACACAGAGATGGCATGCCTCCATTTCCAGTAGCAGCCGTGCAGTCCCCATAGGATTTGTTCAGCAGTAGGAGGATGGTGATGTTCCTTTCTGATGCAGCTATCTCAGGATCCGTTTGTTCGGTCAGGTAGCAGTTTCTCTCTATGCTGGATCGGTCAGCTCCCTCACTGAGAAGCAATCAAGAATTACTGAGCAGGAGGACAAGTGGTATCTTTCCCCTGCGCCACAGTAAATGTCTCACAGGGACCAGTGTAGATCCCCACAGGATCTGTATCTCCCCCTGTAGTACAGACAGGCAGCTTAGAGTGGTGTTACTTGTCGCTTTCAACTCTCCCCACGGTCTGAGCGCGCTCAGCCAAGAGAGCTCAGTTCACTCCTTCAGCTCCCCAAAGCCTCCCGGGAGCTGTAGTTTAATCAGTTTGAGTGGGCACCATCAACCCCACAATTCCCTCTGTCTCACTATACTGCACAGAAATGAATAAATCTTTACAGGCAGAATACTTCAGCACTGTAGCAATTCTATAGAGGCTACACCTGTTTGAAATGTTGTTTCTTGTTCGACCTGACTGGTGGCATCTAGATGATCAGCCTCACGCTGACTCGGGTATTGTTTTCCCATCTATGTGGAGTCTTCCCCTCTGGTGGTGATCTTGTCCATCCTGGTTTGGAGCATTAGGTTGATCCTCTGTGATCTTCCTTCTGGTCGTGTTTCCCAGTTCCACTATCTGGTAGTGGGTTCTGACCTTATTCGTTAGATTGGAGTGTTGGTCCTTCAGGCAGCTTCTAAGCTGCAGGTGGTCCTCTAATTAGGTCTCTTAGTGGGGTTTTTGGCTGGCCCACCCCTTAGTTGGACTGCTTTTGGACATCCTGTCAGTCTCTGATCTCCTGTGTCCTCAAATAAGGAGAAGGAAAATTTAATTTTTGTACTTGCCATAAAAACCATTTGTTGGGGTTCATTGAAGGACACAGGGTCTACCCCTCTTTGTTTGTGTTTGTTTCTATTCATGGCCTTGAATCGGAGAATGTTGTCAAAAATTATTAGAATCTTTTTTTTCCAAATCGAATGTAATATCAGGAAAATATTGTAGTATGTCCACTAGATGGAGACTAGGGATGCACCAATAGTGATACTTGTATTGTTATCTGTACCGATACTAGTATCAATATATGTGCCGATACTGGGAATTTTCACTAATACTTGTACTCATCAAAATACATAGCGCAGTTACTGGCGCTTTAAATGTTTTAATAGATTTGGTTGCCTGGGATCCCGCGCTTGCTGGGGACCTCAGGCAACCTGCTGGGGACCCCGGTGCAGCTGTCCTTGACAGTGCCGGTCCAGCCGCACATCTCCTCTTCCTCCTTCCTGAGACCGGCACAGCCCTACACCCACCCGTACAGCCCTGGAGAACCCCACATGCAGCCCTAGAGAGCCCGGCACCCTCCAGTACAGCCCCTGTGTGATCTTCATGCAGCCTTGGAGAGCCCTACATGCAGCCCTGGAGAGCCCTACATGCAGCCCTGGAGAGCCCTGCATTCTGCCCTGGATGGAGAGCCCTGCAGGCAGCCCTGGCGAGACCCAAACGCAACCTTGGAGAGACCTGTAGGCAGCCCTGGTGAGACCCAAACGCAGTCCTGGTGAGACCCAAACGCAGCCCTGGTGACACCCAAGCGCAGCCCTGGTGAGACCCAAGCACAGCCCTGGTGAGACCCAAACACAGCCCTGGTGAGACCCAAGCACAGCCCTGGTGAGAGCCAAACGCAGCCCTGGTGAGACCCATACGCAGCCCTGGTGAGACCTGGTGAGACCCATACGCAGCCCTGGTGAGACCCATACGCAGCCCTGGTGAGACCCATACGCAGCCCTGGTGAGACCCATACGCAGCCCTGGTGAGACCCATACGCAGCCCTGGTGAGACCTAAACGCAGCCCTGGTGAGACCCAAACGCAGCTCAGGTGAGACCTGCATGCATGAGACCTGCTTTTGGGTCTCACCAGGGCTGCATTTAGGTCTTACCAGGGCTGCGTGCAGATCTCACCAGGGCTGCATGTGGGTGCCAGGCGGGGAGGAGAGTGATGACCGGCGTCTCTCCTCCCGCACCGCTCAGCCTCCTGTCACAGATCTGCAGAGCGATTTGGGGGCCGAGACAGCTTTCAGTGCTATCACAGGAGGCTGAGCTCTTCTCCAGGAGGCTGTAAGCTGTCACAGGAGGCCGGGCTGGCAGTGCGGGGGAGGAGTCAGCTGTCAGAAGAGATCGATATCTCCGCCGGTACTGCTGTTCAGCCTCCTGTGACAGAAGATCCAGGAAAGAGAGCGGTACAAGCAGTCAGTGATTGCTCAGTGTTTGTAAATTATTGAGGACATAGTATATTTACTGTGTCCTCAATTATAAATGAATGGGAAATGATCTACATCACTCCATGTTCATTCATGATTGTGGATATAGTAAACATACTATAGCCACAAGTTATAAATGAACAGGAACACCCAGTATAGAGGATTCCTGTTCATTTATAACAAGGGCTGCAGAAAAAAAATTGAGGACTCTGTGTTCTCAATTTCTTTTTCTATTTTAAAAGGGAAATATCAGGGGTCTGTTTAGACCCCTAATATTTCCCCAAACCCCTAAAAGTAAAGTAAAAAAAATATATAAAACATTAAAAAGTTTATAAAAAAATAAAATAGTTTAAAAAATTTGAAAAGGTTACAAAAAAAAACATTTTCGGTTTCGGCCTGACATTTGTTTTGCATTTCGGTTTTGTTTCGGTTTTGAAATTTTCATTTCGGTGCACCTCTAGTTACAAGTCTTTGCTCTAGTCTCAGTATGCCCAATTGTAAATGTAATTGGGATGGTAGAAGAAACTGCTATAACTGTACTTTACCCATAATAACTTAAAATGTATATTACTTGAGCAGAAGCACCTGAAATCAAACTGCATTTGACATACTTTTGGGTCTGATATCCATGTACATAAGCCCTAAAACTTTTATTTTTATATATTTATACATAAAAAGTATGAAATTAACATATTAGCATGTTTTTAATTTTGCAGGCCTTATAGTTTTCTAAAGAAAGCACTTTTGATCCTACTCCTTCTTCTGATTTTGGCTCCGATGGCTATTGGTAGGTGCTTGTTTTATTTTACCTACAAGTGTTTATAGGGTGTATTTATACTAGTTTTATAAAGCATACATCTAGGCTTGTGCATGCCCAGATTCCCCTGCATTTGCACTGCAGATTCAATCTGCAATGGATGGAGAGCAGCAAATATACTTTGAATGATGGTTTTAGGCCAATTTTTCATCGTGGGCTTCAAGCATTGCAAGTTCTCCATATAAATGGTGAATCATTGATTCACTATCTGCAAACAGTTGGGGATATCTGACATACAAATACAGCAAATGTTAATGAGACCTGTATTTAAGAATTGGACATTCATTTGTGTAGAGAGTGTAGGCAAAAAAATAAAAAAAAACAGGTCCACAAACAGTACTGTGCAAAAGTTTTAGGCAGGTGTGAAAAAAGCTGTAAAGTAAGAATGCTTTCAGAAATAAAAGTGTTAATCCTTGTGTCTCCATGTAATCCCAGACAGATTTGATGATGTTGAAATCAGGGCACTGTGGGGGCCAAACTATCACTTCCAGGACATTCTTCTTTACGCTGAAGATAGTTCTTAAAGGAGAACTATGGGGTCAGTGTTTTTCCCCATAGTTCTCCTTAGGGTAACGGGAGGACACAAACTAGCGTCCTCCCGTTACCCTAAGCTCAGTATACCGCGAGCTACAGCTCGCGGTATACTGAGACGTCTCATTGTCACAGGTCGGCTTAGAACTATGAGGTGAGTGGAAATCACTCATCTCATAGTTCTCCTTTAATGACATTGGCTGTATGTTTGGGGTCGTTGTCCTTCTGCAGAATAAATTTAGGGCCTATCACACTCCTCCCTGATGGTATGGCATAATGGATATTTATCTGCATGTACTTCTCAGCATTGAGGACACCATTGATCCTGACCAAATCCTCAACTCCATTTGTAGAAATGCAGCCCCAGTCTTGCAAAGAACCTCCACCATGCTTCACTGTTGCTCATTATTTAAATATTTGGCTGTAGCAGGAGCCAGTTTGTTCACCGAAGGGCTGGAGAGCGGTACAATAATGAGTGCAGGCGACAGTGAAGAATGGGGCTGCATTTCTGCAAATGGAGTTGGAGATTTGGTTAGGATCTCTGGTGTCCTTAATGCTAAGAAATATAAGCAGATGCGTATCCATTATGCCATACCATCAGTGAGGAGTGTGATTGGCCCCAAAGTTGTTCTGCAGCAGGACAAGGACCCCAAACATACAGCCATTGCCATTAAGAACTCTCTTCACCATAAAGAAGAACAAGGAGTCCTGGAAGTGATGGTTTGGCCCCCACAGAGCCCTGATCTCAACATCATTGAGACTGTCTGGGATTACATGAAGAGACAGAAGGAATTGAGGCAGCCTACATCCACACAAGCTCTGTGGTTAGTTCTCCAAGATGTTTTGAACAACCTACCTGCCGAGTTCCTTCAAAAACTGTGCAAGCGTACCTAGAAGAATTGATGGTGTTCTGAAGGCAAAGGGTGGGCACACCAAATGTTGATTTTATTTGGATTTCTCTTTTGTTCATTTACTTTCCATTTTGTTAATTGATAAAAATAAACTATTAACACTTTCATTTCTGAAAGCTTTTCTTCGTTTACGGCATTATTTCCCACCTGCCTAAAACGTTTGCACGGTACTGTATGTGTTGCAGTTTGTAACCACATTTAAAGATCCAATGAGGTCCCAGCAGTAAATGACTGTCTAATTGTTCATTTATGTTTTTAAATATGTCCATTAACCAATTGCCTTCCGGGGGCAATTTCTTAATATTTGCACACACATGATAAAAATTTTGGGCTAGAAAACAGCCTAAATTCCCAAACAATGGTATATTTTCTGAAAGCAGAGGCCCTGTAGAATAAAAAAAATGCTAGTTGCAATTTTTTATGTCGCACTGTACTTATGCAAATGTTTATCAAACCAGTATTTCTAGGATAAAATGCACTAAAATGAAATTTAGTGCACATAAACAGAATATAATACCCAATTTTTTGGTAAAATATTAAAGATGGGATCACATCAGGTAAATAGATACCAAGCTTGTCAAGCCTTAAAATTGCATGCGCCCATGAAACTGCAAAAAACTACAATACCAAAATTTCCAATAGGCAATGCTTTAAAAGCTTTACTGCGCATCAGTTTTTAGTGTTACCAGTGATTGATAGCCCTAAAAGTATTGCTCTTACTCCGGCGTTAGCGGTGATATGTAACATGTGTTGCACAATTTCTGTTTTTGCACGTAAGCGCACACGATGTGTGTTTGCATTTGTATGTGCGTGTGGGCGGGGGACTTTAAAAAAATGTTTTTGCATTTTTACAATATGTGACTTTTCATTTTTTTTTACGTTTAACTTTATTGTTATCACATAGGTATGGAGACATCAGGCGGCTCTTAGACCCCTATTGTCACCTAGAGACCTCAAAGATGCTGATGAAGCAGCAATTTGCTTCGCCAGCTTCTTCTCTTTTAAAAAAAATGTATTTTTTTGCCCCCACGCGTCTTTAATGAAACACGCGTCGGGTGCGCCTACGTATGAAAACAATGATCGCGCTACACATGTTGGGTATCGCTGCACATGCTGAAATAAGTCTAGTATAAGCCAGTATTTACATGTATCTCTAAACTGATGACCTATAAGGGCTTTTAAAGCGCTGTCTATGGACTTTTTGGACTACTGAAACCTGTCGCAGTTTCACGGACGCACACAATTTTTAACCTGGGCATGTTGGGTATCTATTTACTCGCTGTTATCTCATCTTTTTTATCCTATAAAACATGGGTATTCTAGTGTGATGTGGGGCATTTAAGTGCATTTTTGACTAAATTTTGGGGGGCTAATATCGTGCAACAAAGAAATTTGGAAATGCCACCATTTTATTCTATAGGGTCTTGGCTTTCAGAAAATATATCATGTTTGGGGGTTTTACGTAATTTTCAGGCCTAAAATGTGGATCATATCATGTAATCAATTTTTTTTTTTAAAAGACCCGTCATGAAGGGGTTAAAAAGAAAAATCAAGCATTGCCATGCATTGTAACAATTGACATTTGCCTTTTGAAATAGAAAAAGAAATTGAGGACATAGAGTCAGATGTAATCTGTCTTAAAGAAACTGAAGCTATTGATGAGTATTCAAATACTGATAATTTGTTACTCTGGTCTTCCAGCACAAACACATTTGCTAAAAACTAGCTTAGACCACAAGGGTAAGATTGTCATGCTCAAATATGTGATCCAAGTTTAAAATGTGTTGTTTATCTGCATCACTGTTCCTTTGGGGCTTTAAAGGGAACTTTTTAATCTAATGTATTCTCTTATCAGGGTTATGGCATTACCCATTTGGACTCCATGGTTTCTTATCTGTTCCAATGGCTGCATTTTCTGGCTCACAAAAAACTGTGAAAGACAGTGTCTTAAGAGAACACAGTCCAGGACCCCAAATACAGCCTCTAAAATTCCAGGTTTGTACCAGACCAGCCTTTGATATATTTGTGTCATTAAATGGCAGTCTGACTAAATCAAATATTTCTGTTTAGATAGATTTTACTATTTTACAGCATAGACTGCCTACCTATATTCTTTTTGCACCCAGCTGCTGAACACTCTCTCTAATAAAAGATCTGTCTAAAAACATGGAAATTCACATCAGGAGAATTTGCATGTTTGTGCGTGCAAAAAAAAAGAAACAGGAAGCTCTGTGGATGGCGGCCTGTCTCTGGGGAGACCATAGAGTTTAGCCAGAAAAGTTCCTAGCCAAGCAAATTTGCCATGCTTGACCAGGAATCATCTTCCAGTGTCATGCAGGGGCCTACAGATTTGGATGTCCCAATATTACTTTTTCAAGACCAAGTACAGGTACTTTCCCATACCAATTACCGATACTTTTTCTTAAAGGGACATGTGAATTTTTTTTTCTAAAACAATACAAACTAATGATTTTAGGGGAGTTTAATTTATAATTATGAAGAACTGTAACTCAATCCATGATTATTCTGCATGGAGAATAGCAACAAGCAACAAGCAATAGAGGACTAAAGATCCCATCAATCCATGATTATACAGCAAGTATACAGGGCTGCATACAGATCTCACCAGGGCTGATTGCATTTTTACGTTAAGTAATTCGATTTCCAAAAAGCAATAGCCAATTGCAAAAAAAGTCAGCATGCATGTATACTCATACATATACACACACTCATGCATGTATACTCATACATATGCACACACTCATGCATGTATACTCATACATATGCACACACTCATGCATGTATACTCGTACTGCCAGATTCCAAGATCTCACATCATATAGATGGTCTGAGATTGTGTCCTATAATTTGTTTTTAGTCTTTCCAACATAAAACATGTCACATTTACATAACAAAAGATAGACTATCCCTTCCATAGCACAGTTGGTAAAATGTTTGCTTTTAACTACACAGAAGACAATAAGGTGCAGTGCAGTGAGCACACAGTGTTGCCACTCATCCACTTGCTCCAGCCTCTCACTCCTTCTATTCGCATCCAGCCCCACAAAACCGTTGCTCTCCTCCCACTTGCTGTCCCGGCTTCCCTCTGTACTGTAACCCTCTCAGTGCCAGCCAGGCAGAGAGCGGCATGCTCAGTGATCATGAATAGCACACAGCCCAGGAGCTCAAGGGTTATATTGTGAGAGGAGGAGTGTAGAGGTTCCAGTCTGAGACATATGGAATGTACTGTACGGAACAGCACAACAGAACACGGCATGTAAGCACTGTGGGATGGAGGGACGGGGACAAGCAGACTGCTATACAAGTGACAGCCACTTGTACAAAATGATCGCTGGCTGCTCCCGGCTCTACAAGTGACAGCCGCACAAAACACTTGTACAAAATGATCGCTGGCTGCTCCCGGCTCTACAGTTAGCCCTATTTGCCCGAAGCTGAGCTAAATGTAGAAAACAAACCACCCACACGGCGCCCCTGAACTGCATGTCCAGGGCGATGGGAATTCCGCACCCTTGAATTTAAAGTGCCGGTATTAGCCTTTAGTATCCGGGGCATTTTCAGGAGTACATTGTGGGGTCGTACCATGGTCCAACCCAGGGGGGAACAACATATGAGTAATCTAGAGGAAATCCCTGAGGAGTTTGTGTAGATTAAAGAGGAGGAGGGTAAGAGAATAAGTAAAAATGAGAAGCAGAGAGTGAGAGATAAAGAGGTCTGGGGAGGGGAGTGTAAGAGGTTAATAGATTAATAAAGTAAAAAAGTATTAGCATAATAGTGTAAAAGGTCCCACCCCCTGAGAGGCCCAGGAGTTAAGCAGTGAATAACACATGAATGGACCTTCTACTATGCATAGGAAGATGATGTGTCTGTAACACAACACGAGGCCATGAGTTGCAGGTATCGGTCAGTGGTCCTAAAGTACCTCCACAGCATCCACTTAGAATGAAACTTCTCCTCTAAGTTTTTCAAAGTGGCTGTGAGATCTTTCATCGAGTAGCTATCATTGACCCTGCCAATCCACATCTGTATAGTAGGGGCTTGAGGTAATCTCCCCCCGTTCCATGGCAACCCATTGCTTCATATCTTGGTGTGTACACCAATCTATCACTCTGTTGAGGTGAGAAGCCCTATAGTAAGCCATAATGTCAGGTAAACCTACTCCTCTTATGTCTTTGACGTCTAATCCTTCTTCAAATAGGAAATGGAAAGGTGTAAAGTCCCTCTAGAGACGTACAAAAGTGGATCCATCGTAAAGTTGAAATCACCGCCTAAGAGCAGACGCTCTCTGAAATTTTCGCTATATGGGTCACTAGATCACGAAGAAAATCGGATCAGAGTTAGGGAAATATTGGTCAATGTAACCGGAATTTCGCCTATTCTACCTTTTTGGACTATAAGAAACCTTCCCATCTCATCGATTCACTAGTCCAAAAAGGTCCAAGGAATCAATTTGGACAGAAGAATGTTTGACCCCCTTAGATTTGGACAGAGGAGAGGGACAATGATAAGCTATCGGGAAGTCTCAATTGGTATGTTTTGGGACACAGCCCCGTTTGAAGTGGGTTTCTTGCAAATAGATCACGTGAGAGCAGGATTTCTTTAGGTCCACTAATAACCTAGAGCGTTTTTCCACCATATTAAGACCTCATGCATTAAAAGAGGTCAAATTAATCGGTCCCATTTTCGAGCACCAGTGATAAACATTTAGCTGGTTCAGGGAGTGGGACAGAGGGAAAAGTAAAGGTAGAGCTAATGCAAGGGCAGGAGTATAGAGAAAAAGAGGGAAGAGGAAGAAAGCAAAGGACAGAAAAGGAAGAGCAAGCTAGGCAGCAAAACCTAGAGGGGGAAAAAGAAGAAGAAAGAGATAGAGGTAAAAAGAGAAAATTGGCTAGAACAGACTACCAGTCAGCCAAAAACAAGCCTATCCCACTTATCTCAATGTGGGGGAATCCTACGGGGGGTGCGTGAAGTAGAGAAGTTATTAGTCAAGGAACGCACAGAAATGGTAATAGTTAAAGGAGCAAAACCCCGTGTGACCCTGTGAAACGGTCACAGCACCTCTGTGTCCAGCCCCCATATGTGAAAGGTGAAGGGAGTAAAATGGAACAAACGCACATAGACAGGGCATAAAAACCAAATCACTACTCTTGCCAGAAAAAGGAAGGATCGATCCAACCCTGCATTGCCTCTCATACGGTAAGGAACTGTACCAGGTAGGTCAAGAAAAGCCCCCAGCCACCCAAGATCCAAAATCATGGGTGATTGCAAGACCAGCAGGACCAAGATCTTCAGGGACCTGCAAACCCATAACCAGATAATGAGCTCAGAAGCACAATGCAACTGGACATCAGGAATGAGGGCTGGACTAGGGCTGCAACTAACGATTATTTTCATAATCGATTAGTTGGCCGCTTATTTTTTCGATTAATCGGATAAAGAAAAAGGTATTTACATGTTTAATTATTTAATATGATTAATTATTTAGTTATTAATTAATAAATAGTACTTATTTTATTATTTAATTATTATTAAATATTATTTAATGGACATATCATATTCCTCTTTCGGCTTAGCTCTTATCTCTGACATATGCCACAGAAAGAACCTGTGCAGAAAGGAAAACATTACCAAGCAAACTTTTCTCTCCTGGACTCCTCTCACCAGACATGTTTTCTGGGGGAATCTGATTGGCTGTATGCTTGAATCCGCATCCTGACGCATGGATTCATACATGTGAGCCAATTTCATCTCGCCTAGCTGAGAGTAGAGGATATTGCTGGACACACTGCACACAAAGCTCCATTAACCGCCACTTTCTTTTGCTGTACGTGGCTCCGTGTGTAGTGTATTTCGGGCTTCACAGGGTTTAGGGCCGGTTCACACCATCTCCAGTCCATTACGGCACGGTTAGTGGCCGGAACGCACAGGATCGCATAGTGGAAGCCTCCTTGCGTTCTGGGGCAGGAGGGGGCATGCCGGTGCCATTTAAGTCAATGGCACCACGGACACACACCCCCACCTACAGTGTGATCACCCCCATCACTCACTGCGCACACACACACACACATGGTAGGCATACAACACATAATACAAATACAGTACACATGCAACACATAATACGCACACGTTACACATGCAACACATACAACAAATAGTACGCACACATTACACATAATACACACATAGTACACATACAACACATAGTACACACACAACACATAGTACACACTACTTACATTGGTTGTACATCTCTATTCATGTCAACTATGATCATCCCACGGAGGAGGAGGAAGCTGAGGCATGGGGGAGGCCGTGGTTCCCGCAAGAGAACAGTCCCCCAACGGTCAGACTTCGCTCACCAGGACTCTGGGTGACGCCGGGAAGAGGAAGCTGAGGCATGGGGGAGACCATAGGTCCCGAACGGGACAAGTCCTTGAACAGTCAGTCTGCGCTCACCGGGACTCCGTGTGATGACGGGACGGCCCTATTCATCCCCTCAGTCCAATAAGCAGCCCGGGGAGGAGGAAGAAGCCGCGGGTCCTCTGGCAGTGTCCGTCACAACAGCCAGGCTGTGCGAGTGAGGCTGGGAGGAGGAGGGAGTGAGGGTGCAAACAGCCCAACTAATCGATAATGAAAATCGTTAACACCAGCCCAGTGTGTCATGCATTAATGTGCATTGTGTAAAGGCAGCCCATTCATTTTAATGTACTGCCCAATGCTTCACAACAAATCAAAAATTGTGCATGCAATATTCTTGCCAAGATAGCATATTGCAACGCACATTAGTGTTGCCTTGTGTTGTACTGCGCTGCAATGCAAGTGCCCTTGGAAGGTGTCTTGGGTTGAATGGTACTACAGCACACATAGCCATGTATTGCTGCAATTCCCTCTGCTACTAAATATTCCACGGTCAACTGGGAACAATAGTAACTCAGCCACAAAGTGGTAGGTCACGTAAAATGACAGAGCTGGGTCAG